CTAGATAAACATTTTTTATTAAGGTCTCAAAAACGACTAGTATAGTAATATTTTGAGTAATTTTACTTATTATCTTATAGATAAGAATTTTCTTTGATTTTTCCAAGTATAACAAAAATAATTATTTAGTTATTTCTTGTATAAAATAAATGAATCACACATAAATAATTACAGTAGAGCAATCAATAATTGATTAAAATATTATAAAAAGGTTACATTTTTCTCATTTTACTCTTCCAAGGCAGTAACAATATAAATAAAATTATACTTTTTCTATAAATGCACACCTTCTTTTAATGCACCTTAGTGTTGGTCCCAAGGGGAGTACATTTATAGAAGGTTGTCTGTATATTCTATAAATATATGAGATCTACTTATACTCCTTATATCTTCTTGCTGATCTTTGTTTATCTGAAAAATTTCTAACTAAAATTGATCATTTGCTTCCTAATTCAAGTAGTATATCACCTTTATTATCTATTATAGTCAAATGAAGTTTAGTTACAAGATATTATACTCAAAACTCAACAAAGAGATATAATATTGCACTATAGTCAAAGTTCATAGAGAAGAGGTGGAGAATAGGACTCTGAAAAGTATCAAACCGGTATCAAAGTGGTATCAAAATAGTACCGATCTATAATAAATTTAATATATGGATTGTAATTCACTTATATGAATTTATAGTAAATTTAAGTATCAAACTGATATCGAACTGATATCGAAGTGATACTGTTAGAAGCCCTAGTAGAGAATGTTAGGTTCTTGTAATGTGTCACCTGTTCGGATAATTGTGTTTTCTTTTACTTGATTGTTATTTGTTAGCCTATATCTTCTAATTGTATAAGAAATATCACTTGACTTCATTGATCATTAAGAGGTCAATACAAATCCCAATAATATTTTCAGCTTGCCATTTAAGGCACCTGTTTGAGGATAAAGGGGGCTGTTTTTGGCCTTTATATCTTCTTTACTAGTAGGAGCTATACATGTGGTGAAATTGAATTCAATCATTTTTTAAAAACTGTATTATAGTAAAATTACTAAGTAATATATAATAATTAATTAGAATTCATATTTAATTCAGAATTGTATTGTCGATCAAATTTCCTTTATGGTAATATGACCACATGTATGGTAGGAGCTATATCTCCAGAGAGAGTATAATGTTGTACTACTAACCTAGGGATAATAGAGTGTATTCTAATAAAGAAAACTTTTTTTCTTTTATTTTGAAAAAGAGTATTTCCAAAAAAAAAAATTTTTAAGGAATGTGTGGTGAACGGAAAAGAGTTTTTTTTTAAAAAATAATATATATAATAAATATAAAATTAAAATATATATAAGTGACTTGGGAATAGTCAAGAAGTAGGAACAATTAGAATAGATATACAATTTATAATTAATAAATTATACTTTATTAATAAACTTTGTCTTATAACTTGACTCCAGTATAATATAACTAATAAAATTATTATACATGAAATAATCATAGGACAAGATTAATGAACTAATCTGTATTGATATTATAAATTCTGATCAAATTCATATATCTCTTTTGAATAGAATAATATTCTAATATTATATGACATAAAATAAATTGAAATGATTGACTTTGCTATAATTTTACTATAATAATATTTAAAAATATAAATAATTTTTTATTTAATTTCTTTAAATAATTATTGAAATATATAAAAAAAAATAATTATTTTTGTTTAAAAATTTTGATTATTACTATATTTAAAAAACTTTTTTATATATTTTTAATCTTTATATATATTTTTCTTTTAATATTTAATTAATTATTAAATTATCAATAAAGATATAATTATAATTTTTTTCAATTATTTTTTATACCATATATTATAAAAATATTTTTTATTACATTTTTTAAATTTTTGTAAATTCTAAAATAAATTTTTTATCTATTAATTTTAATATTAAAATAAATTATAAATTTAATTATAAATTCAATATTTTTTACTTGTTTATTTTTAAGTTGAAATTCTTTAATGCAATTATCTATTTCATTTTTTTATTAAAATTAAAAAATTTTGATTTTTTAATATAATTTAACAAATTTAAAAATAAGAAATTAAAAATATATAAATTATTATTTTGAGTTTTTTGAATTAACAATTAAATTTTTAAAAAATAAAACTATTTATAATCACTTGTGTAAATATTTTTTTTTTGTAATATTTTATATTTTATATTAATTTAATTTATTTAAATTCATATTATTATTATAACAATAAAGCATTATATTTTAAAATTCTTATAGTAAACATAATAACTGAAATTCAATCATGTGCTTGTAGCACGATAATGTGCAATAATAGTGGTCATCGTTTGCTGGAACGCATTTACATTATCCAAGAAAAATATTTCTCGTGACCTTTTCAAACTGTATTCTTCTACATCGCGCCAAATCTCTATTAAAATGAGTGACTCAAAAGGTCACGAGATTGAAATCCGTAATATTATTAAATCTCCTGACTTACGACTTCTTACCGATGACGAACTTCTACTCAAAGTTGCACTCATTATCCATGATGAAGACGTGAAATCAATCAGAAAACTCCTACCGTGGAAAACGGAAAATGAACTTGCTAGTATGATAATAGACGTTTATCCTGTTGAAATTAGAGAGATGCCGGAATTAAGATTTTTGTCTCGTCCAAGGCCTCCAGTTCCACCAGATGGTACTCCGGAATATCGAGATTGGCTTTTGAAAGCACAGTGGAGTCCTGAGGAAGAACATGCATATAGAGAGATGACAGAGTATGGGAGAAGAGGGTTGAAAGATTGGAGGAAATTAGTAAGAAATTTAAATGGAAAAAACTTAAGTGATGTTATCAAACATTTTGGAACTTTAAAGGTATAGTGATTATGAGACGGTCAAAAGAATTATTATCTAACGGATAATATTCTTTGTTTTATATCTTTAAAACAATAATGAATTCATTAAACATGTAGAGATAGATCTCATATCGGCCAAATATCGAATAATTTGATGAAACATCTACAGAAATCGAAATATTAATTTTGCCTTTTACATCATAACTTTATGAAACTTTAACATTGCATCTAATGCTTAATATGAACAATCACGAGCACTAGTTTATACCAACTATTTTAATTTGTGTAGGATATCAACAAACTGATTAAGAACAGATGTCTGCTATAATGGAAGAAATATAAAAAGTAAATTTATTTAATAGATTTTTAAAAATATTATAAATTATAGTTTAAAAGTTTTTGTCGAAAAATTATTTTAAATTTATTTATGGAAATTAATAATAAAAAGTTATTAAATTATTTTGATACATAAATTTGTTAAATAAAAATAAGTAGAATAATAAATTAATTTTATTAATATATATTTTAAAATTTTGTAAAACTTAACTAAATAATAAATATTATCTATTTTTAAATTTGAAAAATTTTTTAAAATATTTTATTTATGCAATATATTATAAATAATATTTATGAAATTTTGTAAAAAAAAATATTTATAATAAATTGTAAAAATCTTTTGTTTAAAAAAAAATCAATTATTTATTATAAACTTTATTCATAATATGTTATTAAAATTAGCAAATTAAATAAAACAATATATATTAACTATTAACAGATTAAATATATATTAAATAATAAAAATATTATTATTATTTTTAAGTAAAGAGTACTAGTACTGCACATATTTTTATTAAGTTATTTATATTCAATTATATAAATACAAGATCTATTTAAATTAATTGCTTTTCCATCTATACATGTGGTGTAAATTATTTTGTTGTTGATTCAATTGTCAAAATCCTCAAAAATAATTGCATCTGACTCAATTATTTTATATGTTTTAATAGTGACTCAATTAATTG